GATTCATCAGTCATTGATCTTTGGTTAAAAACTGATCAAGAGTTTTAAACTGCCCAGTGATATGCATGAGGCTAGATTTTTTTTTATTATTTGCAGCAATCTAATAGATTTATCCAGCCCAGTAATATAGCAATTTAAATTCTAGGAAAAGAAGCCTTTGTATGTAGGTCAATGCTAGGGTGCCTGCTTTGCATGCAAAAAAGCCAACATCATCAAATAGGGCTGAAAAAGTCACCAGTTCCAGAGAGATCCCGCTAATTGTTGTCGAAAGCACTGTGCCAGATGGATCAATGGACGAACTCAAGAGAAGACAGTGTCTTAAGCTTCTGTGAAACAAATTTGTTTTTCATATAAATTAGGATTGGGGGAACCGTAGTTTCAGTTCTTCCACCAAATTTTATTAATCAAACATTTAATGATTTAACCCTCTCAGAACCTTGCCAGAGTAGTTCTGTAGATTTTATGTTTGTGTGTGTGTGTGTGTGTGTCTGTCTATCTGTCTGTCTGTCTGTATGTATGTATGTATGCATGCATGTATGTATGTATGTATGTATATGCGTATATATGTATGTGTGTGTGTGTATATATATATATATATATGATTCCACAATAAGAAAGGTTGGATTTTGCAGCTTCTTAATTTATGCACCAAAGAGCAATTTTTCATGCTTTATAGTAAACGGGACCATTGGTTTTTTGAGTAGCTTCAGTTTTGGCTACTTTGGCTAGTATCTACTCCAAGATTTCAGGGAAATATCCTTTGAACACCTTTTCTTAGTATTTTTTAACTTGAATGGGAAAAAAATTCTAATATGGACTTTAATTTTCCCATTCCTGCCTTTGGAAATAAAACTGTTAACTTCTGTAGGTTTATGTTTAACCACACAATTCTGCCCGACACTTTGGTTAATTATGGGTTCACACAAAATTCTTTCAAGGATAAACATCACCAATTTCTGGCTTCATTGCAGCTTTAACTATTTATTTCCTGCATCAGTTGTGTCAGCAGGGGAGATTTTAAAAAAAAAATCAAGCTAATAGTTTCAGCCACCATCATGATTTCTTTGATGGTCTCAGTAGTTACCCCTAATCTATGGGCCATACAGATTAGAAAGTTCCCATTACACTTAAACATTCACACACATGAACCTGCATATGTACCTACATAATAACATCTGTTATAGAACTTTAGTGGCCAAATTTGTCCCTAGGGACATCCAGACAGGCATGCAAAGAACAGGTATTTCCATTTTCACTCTAGCAGCAATGGAGAAATAACTACCAATTCCTCGACTCAACTAGTGACCACATCAAGAACCATAAATGTTTAGATCTGGTGTATATGCACGTGTATCTCTTAATATGACATAATAATCCTCTGATCATCTTTGGGCCAAAGAAACAGGTAATCCTCAACTTATGACCACAATATAGCCCAAAATTTCTGTTGCTAAGCAAGATAGTTGTGAAGTGAATTTTTCCTCATTTTATGACCTTTCTTGCCACAGTTGTTAAATGAGTCACTGCAGCTGTTCAGTGAATCTGGTTCCCCACTGCTTGTCAGAAGATCACAAAAGGTGATCACATGTCCCTGGAACACTGCAACAGTCATAAGTACATGCCAGTTGCCAATTTTGACCACATGGCCATGGAGGACACTGAAATTGTCTTAAGTGTGAAAACCAGTCATAAGTCACTTTTTTCAATGCCGTTGTAATTTCAAACAGTCACTAAGCAAATGGTTGTAAGCTGAGAAGTATCTGTAGTAATGAGGACTGGGATTTTTTTTTATCACTTCAGTGATGGCTGAGTGATGGTTTGAAGATGCTATACAGTAAGTCTCTTGGGGAAATGGCCACCATCTTTCCAATGCCAATGAAATGGTAGCAATGTCTCCTGATTTCTGAAAATCTCTCACCTTAAACTTTTAATATATGGGACATAACATCTTTTGTTGTCCATGGGGATCATTGAAGGTCTGTTTTGAACAGTATACTGTGTTTCACCCAGCAACTAGCCAAGTGCGTTTGGGAACCATGAATGTGCTTTTCCCTTATTGCCTACCCCTGCCGTTCAGTATTCATATGGAATTGAGCATATGTTATTTATTGACACAATTACTTGCTCAACTGTTAGTTACTGAGTTATTGACAGAGCATAAAAGAACCTGAGGAGATCAGGTTAAAGCTGCTTTAGTCCAACTTCTGTTATTGTCCAGCAAGGGATGTACTCAGAGTTATGCTGCCTCTGATCCTAGAGGTCATCATATCTAGCAGATGCTGATAACCTGTTTCCATGAATTAATGCAGTCTCTTCTAAAGTCATCTTAGTGGCCTTCACCCCAATTCTTGTTGGAAGTTCTTTGGTTTAGCTTTGCACCGTGTTAGTCAAATTCTGTACTTTAACTTTGACTGTGAATTGTCCACAAGTTCAAACTCATTGGACAAATTCTAATATGTAAGAAGAAAAGGGGGAAATGTGTGAGCATTTTGCATTATTAGATCCATTTCTGTCACTTCTCTCTTTATTAGCGTCTCTACTTTAAAAAGCCTCAACTATAGTCATCTTTCTATTCGGGGTGAGATAATCCCACCCCCTTACCATTTAGATTCATTTTTCTTGCTCCATAATTGCATTTAATTCTTTTTAAGAAGGAGAATTCTTTTAAGAATAATCTAAATACAAGGCTTTAGGCACTCAGTTATGCAATTCTGCTGAGGCAGTGACACAATTATCTTTCCATTCATTCTGCACTTGCTGAACTTCTATACTTTGGCCTGTCTTTGGGGGGAAATTGCTGCAAGTAAAACATTTTCAACAGAGTTAAGACAGGCCTACATTTCTACCTTTATCATCAGCTTTGCTAATATTATAATGAAATCTTTGGTACAAATTTCAGTACGATGTGTACTATATTACATTTTCTTCCCCTGTAAAAAAGGTTTTTCCTTGTGCATCCAACCCTGTGTGTGGAACTTCTCTTTTTCCCCCATTTATTTTCAAGATACTTTTGGCATTGGAAAGGGATGGTCAAAAAAGGCAGGGTGAAGTATACATAAAAAGAAAAGCACAGCTTTAATTGCACAGCCACTGCCATTATCTTGCAGATGTTGACCGTTATTGTCAATGCTATGCTGCTACACACCAACTATAGGACACAGGATATATCTGATTGATGTTGCTGAGAAAAAAGTTATCCAGATTATGGGCTTCAGTTGAGCGCATCTGATCACTTCTCCATTAGATTCCGTTTCCTGAGTTTCTCTCATCTACCCACATTTTTTTTTTTTTGACCCCAGTTTTTCTCCAGGCTTCCATGACGATAGAGGGAAAGAAGCAAAATTTCACCATGTCAGTTGAGAAGCACAGATTGATTTATGTTTATTTGCCCATTTTCTAAGAGCAGTGATTGTCCGCTTTCAGTTCTCCTGTTCCACAGCATTTAGATCAGGGGTTCTCAACCTTGGCAACTTTAAGACTTGTGGACTTCAACTCCCAGAATTCCTCAGCCAGCTTTGCTGGCTGAGGAATTCTGGGAATTGAAGTCCACAAGTCTTAAAGTTGCCAAGGTTGAGAACCCCTGATTTAGATGGTCATATAGATCTTTCCTCTGAGGTTGATTTCGCCCCTGGGATATTCACAGGAGATGATCAAAGCACCACCCATGCAATCCATATAAAAAAACCTGATGGTGCTCCAGGCATACCATTTTGGCTGCCATCTTGACTATTTGACCGCATCTAATAGATTTATTTATTTGATGTACTTTTAATCTTAAGATATTAAGGCATCCCTGACAAAGGCTCCCCAGTCCTTATTTGGGGGACTTGGGGACTTGAATCCCCACCTTTCTAGTAATTGGTTCCCCAATCAAACTGCTAGGAATTTTTTTCCCCTGTCATTTGACTGAAATCTGCCTTGCTGTAACTCAAAGCCATACAGATGGTCCTCGCCCTACAACCACAATTGAGCCCAAAATTTATGTTGCTAAGTGAAACATTTGTTAAGTGAGTTTGGTCCCCTTTTACCTCTTGCTACAGTTGTTAAGTTAGTCACACATTGTTAAGTGAATCCTGCTTCCCCAGAAGTTGCAAAAGGTGATCACAATCACCCTGGGACATTGCAACCGTCATAAATACATGCCAGTTGCCAAGCTTCTAAATTTTGATCACATGACTATGAAGAGGCTGCAAAGACCATGTGAAAAACAATCATGTCAACTTTTTTCAATGCTGTTGTAATTTCGAACAGTCACTAAATGAATGGTTGTAAGTCAAGGACTACCTGTATTCCTTATCCTCTCTAGAACTCTTGATAAAGAGTACATCTTGATCTTCTACGTGATCTGCTTACTCCTCCTTTCCATCTTGTCTCAGAGACCGCCTGCTCAACATATCTCCTTCAGGGCAAGGGATAATTCTGCCCACCATCCATGTTGAAGAAGGGCACAGCTAAGAGTCCACTTGACCTTCGCACATGAATGGGAAAAGGACAGCAGCTTGATTTACAGCTCAGGTAGGAAAATATTTGGGGCCATTTTTCCCGGAAATGAGTGATTCTCCCTACTTTTGGAAAAACAGGAAAGGAAGGAAATAGTTGAATCCACTGAGATCTAGACTGGAAGATGAGAGAGCAACTTGGTTCCCTGAAAACAAAGCAAGATTGGAAGAAGTATCCAAAGCAATGCACCTCTGACCTTTCTTCCAAGCCAAATTAAAATGTTTCCGTTCATCCAGAATATGGGAACCATGAGATGTGAACAGAATGCAAACATTGCCTTGGCTGCTCTTGAATTGCTATTTAGTCCTCCTCTTTTCTTCTTCTCTTAGGGAGAATCCAAAGGGTAGAAAACACACCCAGGGAAAGCCTCCAGTTCGCAGCCAACAGGCCGTTACTGTGACGACAAAACCTGCTTTTCTAAATACTACACAGAAGTGTCCTCAGTCTCAGCTGCTGCAACCATCTGCTGTGTGTGCTCAGCCTTTCACTTCTACTGAGAAATGACGACAGGTTCCCCCCCCCTCTCTCCAATCAGGGCTAGAACTGGGCCAAAGGTTGGTCAAGCCAAGGCATTTCGTAAGAGGGACTTTAAAAAAAAAACACTGAGAAGACAAGAGGTCTGAAGAGCATCTACTTCAAACACTCATTAATTGAGCCTGTTAAATGATAACCCCTTTGTGACTACTGTTTGTCGGATGTTTCTGCGGATATCCATCCTTGGCAAGATGTCAGAAGAACTTTTCCCTGGGGTGATTGAAGAGACAAGCCCCCTTTACCTTGAGAGGTGGGAGGGACTAAGCAAGACAGAGTATTTAAGGAAGGAAAACCAGAAGTCCCAGGAAGAATTTTAATAAGCAGCATCATGTTCTCTGAAAGGACCAACTAAATCTTCTCCAAAACTAAGAATTGAAACTACTCCGGTAAAGTAAGTATTTACATATATAACACCTGCATGCGTTTTGATATTTTGATTTAAAAAAAAATGATTTACGTTTTTTTGTGCATTGTGAATTGATTTGTGATGACTTGTATTGCTTAGTCTGAAAAAAAATGCTTCTTTTTTTTTGAGAAAAGTTATAAATTGGTGATAGAACATATTCATACCATGCAAAAAATCCTGGTGTTTCTCTTCTATTCTTGATGTTTTGAGTTTGGGATACTGCTAGTATTTTCTTCAGATTTGTTGGATTCCAGAACCTATCAGTTCTAACTCAGCCAATGACCAAGGATTGGTAGAGATAGTTTCAAAACATCTAGTGAGTAACAGGTTGTTCACCCCTTGCTGTAGATAGTACATCCATTTGTTTGGTTTAGTTCAGTTGAAGGCAGTATCCATTCTTATCTCCTTAAATTTTTTTTTTTGCTAAACAGTTATAAATTTTAATGAATTAAAGGCAACACACTATCTTTTTCCTCTCTATAATTTGCAATTCATCTCCTAGGCTAAATATTCTCATTATCATCATCACTTGTAAAAAAAAAAAAAACAGGCAATGCCACCCCAAGTGCAAACACGAATGAATGCCACTCCAAAAGTGGTCCAAGGGGACTTGAAGAGCCTGGCACCCAACGTGAGAAACTTCATTGAAAGCAATGCCAAGCTGTGCCAACCAAAGGCCATCCATATCTGTGACGGATCAGAGGATGAGAACAAAAAGGTCTTGGAGCTGATGGTGGAACAAGGCATGATCAAGAAGCTTAGGAAATATGAAAATTGGTAAGGGACCAGTATTACGTGGTGTGCGAAGCCAAATACAATGTTCCTTTCCTTAGGGCTTTCCCCAATTTGTACTTGGTGGTGGTATATGGGCTTGAAGTAACTTTTCTTTCCTCTGTGTTTCATCCCTTATTCCAGCATTGTCCAAAAGCATCCTGAAAGTCTGTACAAAATCTGTTGGAGGGACATCTAGAAGTGACCAGGAAGAGAGGCAATAGAGACAAGATAGGGATCCGCTATGGGGCAGCATATTTCATGCCAAACTACGTCAACGAAGAATGGAGAATAGATCAGCTCAGCAATAGGGATCTGTCCATAAGTAGCTAGTGTGTTAATGCCATTAATTTAATTTTCTTCCTGGATAGTTCAATGTAGGGAAGAATAAAAACCAAAGTTCCATTTCTTTTTTCTACATTTTTCCAATGCACAACTGCCACTATTTAATGGATGTGCCATATTTTTAGTGGCTACGTAGCTATCAAAATATCAATAGATAAAGATTTTCTCATTATTGAATGTCTTTGCCCGAGAAAACTTCAGATAGCAATATTTCTCAAAATCATTAGTTTTCTTTTACAAATTCCACCTTTCTTTGCCACTTTGCAGTAATCCTATTTTTAATTTTTGGGATCTGTCTTCTTTGTGCAGAAAAGATGAAATAAAATCAAGTAATACATTCAATCTTTGTAAACACAGAATAAATGTAACGTGCGGGGTCGGAAGCACATTTCTGGTCTGGGTAAGCAACTATAAAACAAATTTCTAGAAACTGGTATCTGGAGTGCAGACCAGCTCTCCCCTTTTCCAAACTTTAGGGAGAAATTTTATAAGTTTATTTCTTCAACTGCTTGAAAGAATAATTACACACGCAGCACATTAAGAACACAAAATAAAACAGACAATTTAGCTGGAACCTAGAAGAATAAGCCAACAAGATCTCCTCTTTAGTTTCCTGGTTCACTGAAACTTAGATTTTCTAGGACTTGATACCACAGATTTCTCATGCCACAGATCAAATTCCATTGCAATTTATGCCAATTCAACAATAACACCAGTTTGTGATTAGCACAAATTATGCAATCATACCCATATAGTAATATAATTGACCCAAGTATCATAGTTTGCATCTTTGGCTTTATTGCCATGATGGGTTTTTTTATTTACCAGACTTTAACGAATAATGGAACCCTCTTCCCTACAATTAGAGGTTAAATAAATTAATTGGAGGTTAGTTTAAATGAGTTTTCATTGTGTGTCTCATTTATACAGGAGGTCCTAAAAGTCTTAATGAAGATTTTTTAAAAAAATCTATTGAAGCTTGGCCACATTGTTCTTAAACTATATGCAACCCTAAAATGCTTCATAAAAATTTGTTTTATTGCTTTAGGAGTCAATATTGAGACTAGCATAGGAAGGAGATATGTTAATGCTTCCTAATAAGCAAGTGGCAACTCCTGAAAATCAGGAGGAAAACAGGAAGGAATAGAGACAGAGATAGAGTTATGCACATACATACACAGACACACATGCACACATATGTATACATTGCAGGTATGTATGTATAAATGTATATATGTATGTAAAAAAATATTTGTATCCCACCTGCATTATATTTTACCTATAACTCAAGACAGCAAACATATCCAACACACCTTCCTTCTACTATTTTTTCTAGAACAACACCCTGTCAGGTGGGTTGGGCTGAGAGAAACTGACTGGCTCAAAGTCAGCCTGTTGACTTTCATGGCTAAGGTGAGACTAGAACTCATAGTCTCCCGCTTTCTAGCCTCATGCCTTAACCACTAGACCAAACTGGCTTTACATACATACAAACATACATACATACATACATACAGGTTTGTGTGTGTGTGTGGTTCCACCCTCAAGGAAATGCAGCCCTGTTTCTCATTTCTTTTCATTATTATCTCTAAGATGAGGCAGCAGCTTCAAATAACTTATGGGTAGCATTCTGCACAGAGACATTCTCTATGTACAATGTTATACCTCTTGTTCTTTGAAGTTTAGTAAGCTAAAAGGCGGTAGTCCTAAGCATATTGCTAAACAAATAAATGATTTAGGTTTGTTCTTAAGATGTAGATAACCTCACAGGGACGTGGCAGAGAAAAGATACTGGGAAAAGGCCAAGAAACAGGCACAGAGATTGTGGGCATAAATAGTCATAGTTAAGTGCTCCATATGAACTGAGTACATACCATGAAAACTTGATCTTTCTCCTTTCACTAAAATCTTCTGTAATGCATTAAGGTTAATTTGTCTCTCTTATGAGTAGCACTGCTAAAAAATGTTGCAAAGATTTATCTTTTTTCAAAAGTCGCAAAGTATGCCCTATCTTAAATATTTCCATGCATTGGAATTTTTTGATCAGTTAATTTTTTGTAGAATAAAAAAAACAGAATAACAAGGTTTTTTTGTCGAGGAGATTTGGTAGAAGTTTCCTAAACAACCATGAATATTTAGGCAACATCTGGATATTGCTTTTAAGCATTTGGCATAGAAGAGTCTTGAGAGAGGTGGTCACCCCAATCTCTCCAATTGTAGATTTTTTTATTCATCTGTATGTGTGTATGCACTTGTGTAGAGAAAAACAGAAAGAGAATACTGACTGTGGTGGATGAGGGGTTTCAAAAAAGTCAAGATGGCAATTATAGTTGCACAATGAAAGCCTTAATCCTTTTTTTAGGTTCTTGCACATGCAAAATACATAAAAAGCAGATATGACTTCATACAGTCATGTTTACCATCGTGGCTTTTTCGATGCCCTAAAGCAGTGATGGCGAACCTTTTAGAGACCGAGTGCCCAAACTGCAACCCAAAACCCACTTATGTATCATCGGGTGCTGGGTGGACATGGCCCATTGGGTGGGTGTGGCCAATTGGATGGGTGTGGCCCCTTGTGTGGGCGTGGCTGCAGTGGTAACGGCAGACTGGGTGGGACTAAAAAGTTCAATCAATCAATTCCAACTTTGCAAAATCTTTTTTTTTCCTGCAAGAAGTTGAAATTGATTGATTGATTGAACCTTTTTTTTTTTTGCACACGGCGGTGGAGGCCTAAAACGAAAAAGTTTTATAAAACCCAGCTGAAGGCCTAGGACTGGGGCGAGGGCACCCGTGACCACAGAGAGGGCTCTGCGTGCCACCTGTGGCACACGTGCCATAGGTTCGCCACCATGGCCCTAAAGATTCTCCCGGACTGAAAGTATCTTGAGATCTCCTCTCTAATATTCCAATGATGGAGTCTGAATATTCCATTCTAGAAACTCTAGAAATTTTAATGTTTGGAAATAAATATAAAGCGTCTGGAAGTTTTAATGTTGGGAAATAAATATAAAGCTTCTGGAAGTTTTACTGTATGGAAGTAAATATAAAGCATCTGGAAGTTTTAATGTTTGGAAATAAATATAACAAGGCATTTCCATTATTTTTCATTCCAATTAGTAATGGGGAATGCACCACACTATTTTAGATAATGAGGTGGTTATTGCTTATTTTATCTCCGTTCTGCTTCTCCTCCCTAAAAGTAGTTTTAAAAAGCTAGCTGAGAACCTAGCAGGAGTTGGGCTCCATTTGTGAAATGTCTCTGTCAAGAATAAAGTCATTTTCATTAGCAAAACATCACCAGGAGCAAATGGTTTGACTGCACTTAAATAAATAATATTCCTTTCAC